ACCAGTTTCAGAGATGAGATAGGGATATAACACAGACTCTGCAGATATAAACAGTAAAATAGGGAAATGTTATCAACGACTCTAAACACATAAATTTGACAAATTAGAAAAATGAAGCAATTAATTGAAAAGCACGAACTACCAAAACACACCAAATATAAAAAAATAACCCATGTAGGCATATAAATAATAAAGTAATTAAATCCAAAAATTTTTTTTTTTCCTTTTTGTCTTTTTCCGTGTCCGGCAACGGATCACAACCCTCATTGTCGCCCCCGCACCGGGCTGGGACCGGCAACGGGATCACAACCCTCGGCGCCGCTCCCGCGCCTCGCTCAGCCAGTGAGCGGGAACCGGTCTGTATGGGACTGGCAACGGGATCGCAACCCTCGGTGTTGCTCCCGCACCTCGCTCAGCCAGTGAGCGCCCGGTCTGAATGTGGGATCCGAACCCTCAGCGGGAGCGCCGCCGCGCTTCCCAAGCGGCGCACTATAGCAGTGTGCCACCGGGCCGGCCCCTAAATCCAAAATTTTAAAACAGCTTCTGAAAAAGAAATCTTCAAGCCCAGATGATTTCACTGGATACTTCTACCAAACATTCGAAGGAGAATTATAAGCAATTATAAATACAAAACAGAAGAGGAGGAAACATTTCCTCACTCATTTTTTTGAGGACAGCATTACCTAGATAGCAAAACCAGACATAGAGACTGCAATAATAATACTAATGATAACAAATTAATTAAAAAATTCAAACAGAAAACTATAAGTCATTATTTTTCATGAACTTAGACACAAAAATAGTGACCAAATTATAGCAAACCTAGTGCAACGATGTGTAAAAGAAAATATAATATCAAGAACAAGTGGAGTTCATTGCAGGAGTGAAAATCCAGTTCAATATTTGAAATTCATTCAATATAATCTACAATAGCAAGAAGCTACAGAAGAAAAATAGCTTGATATTATCAACACACACACAGAAGAAGCACTTGACAAAATTTAATACACAATCTTGATAAAGACTCTCAGAAAATTAGAAATAAGAAAATCAGGAATTATGTTCCTCAAAATATATGTTGAAGTTCTAGCCCTGGTACCTGTGAATATGACCTTATTCAAAAATAGGGTCATTGCAAGTGTAAACAAGATGAAGTCATTCTGAGTTAGAATAGGCCCTAATGTAACACGACTGGTGTCTTTATAAGAAGAGAAGAGACACAGACAGAGACACACAGGGAAAACGCCATATGATGATGGAGGCAGAGATTGGAGTGATGTGCAAATGTATGAAAACTTACATGGGATCTATAAGTTGAAAATTACAAAACACTGAAAAAAAATCAAATAATGTCTAAATGAGTGAAGAGACATATCATATATGGTATGGTATAGTAACTACAGCAAAGTATGTAGTATAATAAGTAGTATAGTAAAGATGTCAAATATCAGCAGTTTGATCTATGATTTCAATACACTCTTTTCAAAATAAAAGAAGTTTTTTTTGTAGACTTAGACAACTTATTTTAAAATTTATATGGAAAGGTAATAGAACTAGAATAGCAAAAAAATTTTGAAAAGGAATAATAAAATGAAAGGAAGCATGCAACCTGAGTGTGGTATTGGCAGAGAATAAACAGAACAGAATAGAAAACCCAAAAGTAGACAAACACAAATATATCCACTTGATTTTTGACAAAGTCTCAAAATCAATTGAATGAAAGATGGATAGTGTTTTCAACAAATGTTGCTGGACCACCACAGGGAAAATAATGAACCTTGACCTAAACCATGCAACATACACCACAATTTTGTATGAAGTGTAAATCTTTAATACTTTTAAAAGATAGCATAGGAGAAAATCTTTGGTATTTAGTATTAGAGTTCTTAAACATGATAGCAAAAGCCATGCTATATAAAAGAAAAATAATAATAACCCAGACTTCAACAAGATTAAAAACTCTTGCACCATAAAAATGTTGTTAAGAAGTTGGAATATAGAGAATATACAAAGAACTTTAAAAACTGAACGGTGAAGTAAAAAAATCCAATTATAAAATGGGCAAAATAAATGAGTAGATATTTCACCCAAGAGTAGATACACATGAAAAGTTGTCCAACAACAATTGCTGTTAAGAAATGCTGATCAAAACCAGAATGTGGTATCACTATACATCTATTAAAACAGCTAAAATTTAAAGATAATAATAATAAAAAGTGCTTGTGAGGATGAACAAAAACTGGATCATTCACAAATTGCTGATGGGAATGTAAAATGGTAAAGTCAGTCTGCATTTTCTTACAAAACTAAACATTCTATGGTATGTTCTCCATGACAGAGCAGTCTACGAGATACTGATTGATGAAGGATATAATTTAGCATAGAAAAGGGGTTTGTTGCTGCTGCGCTTTGGATTCAGTGTTTCAGGAGAGCACAAAATATACTGGATAGTATTCTCCCATGTTAAAGAAGCTAAGAGCAATTAATAGTTCTAATATGGGACCTATAGAGAGTTCAGCTATTGCACTGAAAATAGGTTCAGAGGACTCATGGACACAAAGCTAATTTGATTCGCGGGCTTGATAGAACTAAGAAGGATTTTACTTCTGTGAAACACTCATTTGGGAAATAGGTAACCAGACTGTTCTCTCTGGACATTAAAATATAGGATATGTAATATAAAAATACTTTTGCCTCTCCAAATTAGGTTTTAGATAGTTGATCATGTTGGTCAAAGATATGAAAAAATACATAATAATAATAATAATAATATTAATAATAATAATAATAATAACACCATTTATTGAAGATTTGCTAAGTTCTTGGCATTCTGCTGAGCAATTTATATACATGGCATCACTTGTCCTTACAGCATTATAAGGTATATTTTGTCCGCTCCACTTTAAAAATGAGGAAATGGAGGCTCACAGAACAAAACTATATAGCTGAAAGTCACAAAGGTATTTAGTGGTTGAGCAAGAATTTATTTCTAATTTTGCTCAACTGTAAACCCAACATTTTTTTCACCAGAATATCATATTTTCAAACTGTAAGAGAAATTTCAGATCATATATTCCCACTTCCACCCAATTTTCTGATTCCTTCTATGCCGTAGGTACTCCTTTGACTTATGTTTGAATTATCTCTAATGAGGTAGAACATCCTGATCCCCAAATCCAGCACTAAGTTCAATGACTTTACCAAAAGTCAAGCTTTTCCAATCTGTCTACTTACTTCTCCTCTCCGCTTCTCCAAAACAGTCCTAACAACCTCTGGATAGCAGCAATAGCCAACTAACTAACTGATCTACCTCCATTCACTCACACTTTTTTGTTTTCTACGCATTTCAGCTAAGGTGTTTTTTTTCCCCCCAAATATATCATTTTGCTGAATTAATCACTTTTCATTTCTCTCAAACAGCAAACACCTTGTCATGGCCTGTAAGAACAATAAGTGCTGGTCAGTTCAGCTCTCTCCCAGTTTACCTTGTTGCCAAGCTTAATTATTAATCAATTACTTTTTCAGTCTCAAGAAGTTCTAAGTTTGGACAATGAATTTTGAGGTTACCCTATCTATAATGCCTTGCATTGTCTGGCTCCAAATACAATAGATTACACATTTAACTGTTGATCATTCATCTTAATTTAAGTATATAAGTGTGTGCATTCATGCACACCCAGGACCTATGTAAAGTTCATTTCTATATTAAATACAGGGAACAGCCTGAACCATCAAGAAAGACAGAAAGTTAAGTCATCTGTCTTGGAAATGAATAAAACCAATAAGTTAATTATTTCTTTTTCGTATTCCTACTTCTCAGGTCTTGTGCAGCATAAATAGGGAATGGGCTCAGTACTACTGAGTAACATGAAAGCTTTCTTTTTCCACTCATCAAAGCTTAGCTCTTGTGTTGAGTGTACAATCTTATCCTTATTAAGAACAGATATAACCTACACAAATTTTGTAATGAAAAATAAATAATTAGCATCAGATGTTAAATATAAAATTTCAGGTAGCATTTACATGCAACTATAGTGTATTTAAAATATATTGTGCAGGATTCTCTTCCAGTTGGCTGAGTGGGGTAAACAAATCCTCTCCACCCAAAGCAACAAGGCTGGACAACAGTTAAAAACAACTGCTTCATCAGTCTGAAAATTGACCAAATGAATCCAACAGACTGAGAGGTGCTTCTTTTGGAAAACCACTTCAGATAAATACAGCGTAAGAAGACACATGCAAAAGACTACATATCGTGTGATTTTATTTATATGAAATATCCAGAAAAGGCAAGGCTATAGAGATAAAAAGTGAATCAGAGGTTGCCTGAGATGGGTGGGAATGAGAGTTGACTGCAAAGGGGCTTGAGCAAAATTTGGAGGGGAAATGGGAAAGTCTAAATTTGTAATGTGTTTTTGACTGCAAACTCTGTCATTTAAAAAAAGTATTGGAATGTATACTTAGAATGGATGAATTTTATGATATGTATGCTATATCTAAAAAAGTATAAAATATGTATTTTACATGTGAGATAGATAAAAGTGTTGTTATATTGTCTATGTTATCACAAGTATAACAAAGACAGCCATGGTTGAGCAGAAAAATAAGACAGAAAATGAAATCAGTGTAGGTTACCCAATCAAATATACTTAAACCATTTGATTTCAGAACATCATTAAAATTTACTGAAAAACAAACCATCTATTTTTGAAAAAATACTTTGAAACATCCTTTGAAAACCAAATAGATATATTATCCTTAATTTCAATGTCTAATTATTAACTTTTGCTTCTCTTTATGGTCTTCATTTTATACACTCTATTTTCCAATTTTGAGTAAAAATTTATGAAGTCTATAAAGCTTTGAGTCATACAAGCAATACTGCTCTGGCTGAACCAGCAAAAGATGACCTATAGGATTTTCCATCTTAAATTCCATTCCACAGTTTAGGATAAATTACATTCACAAAACCTGTTACATACTGTTGGTTGATATATTACCTTGTCTGACTTGTCAGCCTAAAGTCAATAACAGATTCCTTAAATAAACCAACTCCTTCAATGTCCATGACATCATCTACATCAGGCTCAGTAGCAACCAACGTTATGGGAAACCTCCAGATCCCATATGTTATGCAGTCTATTTTCAGTGTAACATGAGACCTGCAATATAAAAGAACATTTTTAAAGATGCTATAGAATATCAAGAAAAGAGAATACATATAACGAATCGCTTTCTTTTATTTTATTTATTTATTTTTATTTTTTATTTTTTTTCCTTTTTGTCTTTTTTTGTGACCGGTAACGGGATCACAACCCTCGGTGTTGCGCCCGCACCGTGCTCAACCAGTGAGTGGACCGGTCTCTATATGGGATCTGAACCCTCAGCGGGAGCGCCGCCACGCTCCCAAGTGCCGCACTCTATCGAGTGTGCCACCGGGCCGGCCCACGAATCACTTTCTAAGGTCAAAATGTAAATAAGCCATGTGGTTTCAGCAAAAACACTAGGACATTTAATTCTTAAAAAATGTAGATGACTGCTAATTACAATTTAAAAATAATTTTTAGATAAAAATTTCTGTTATCATTTTCCCTTTGAGGTAATTATTTTGTAGAGCATCTTATCTACTTGCTAGTTATGTTATGAGAACCAGTAACATATGCAGAATGGATTCTGCAAATTTTCCATAACCAGAATACAATATCATAATATGTAAATGAATAAACAATAAAAAAAGAAAGAGAGAGAGAGAGAGAGAGAGAGAGAGAGAAGGAACGATCACAATAATACATTAAACTTTTAGAAGGAAAGAACAGAACTGTGGTTACCAGAAATGGAAAGGGGGATGGGGAGAGGGAGAGGAACGGGGATTAATGAGAAATTGGTTAGCAGACACAAAGAATGATTACATATTGTAATGACGAATAATCTAACTATCTTGTTTTGATGATCACATATTGTACGTAACTATTGATAGTCAACTTTGTATGTCACAAATACAAATATGTATAATCAATTATGCTTCAATTAAACAATATTAAAAAAATAAAAATTTGTGATTGTGAAAAACCAAAAAACAAAAACAAAAACCAACCTAAGGGTGAATTTGGCAAATGGACCCAAGTTTTAGTGTAATAGATATTCCATTTAGGGATTTTCTGTCAAAATGAAACACTGTGAGAAGGTCTTTTCAACTCTTCCTTCACATAGAAAATTATATTTTCTGTGGACACCTACAAAGCCCCATATAATTGACTTAAATTGAAGCTTTTTAAAAATTAGATCACAATTAGTAAAGACCACACACACCTTACAGAACAACATATAATTGAGTGGCAGTTGAATTAAGGAGGAAAGTTAGTAGAGAAAGACTTTCAAAGCATTTGGCTATGGCAAAGAGTGGAGTGACAGGGCAGTAGCTGGAGTTGAGGAATGATTATTTGTGTGTTTCCTTGTTTAGGGTGAAAGTCAATCAAACACTTAATGGTGTGATTGCAATATCACAGGTCAGGATTTAAAAATGAAATCACAAACCTCTTACCCCAAACTGTCAGAAAGAACAGTTCTGGGAACTCTTAATTCTCTTTAAGTAGGACTGTAAAATTACTCAACCATTTGGGAAGTAATTGGACGATATCTTAACAAATTTGAAAGCTACATATAATAAACCAGCAATTTTACTATTACTAATTTCCCCTGAAGATATGCCTCCAAGATTTCAAGATGTGATGTGTTATAAGGATGTTCATTACTGCATTGTTTATACTATCAGAAACACTGGGAGCAAAATTTTAAAAATGTTCTTTCAATAAGGTGCTTGTAAAAATAAGGTATGTTGCATAGAAATGATGGAATACTACTTAGAATAATTTAGCCAGTGATGACTGATAGATCACTTTAAACTAACGCATCTAAAATGGGAAGCTTAACCCTATACCTCTCACACATTCTCCTATCTTTTTAAACGAAACAATATTAATCTTGTTCCACTATTTTAAGAGCACTATTTCAAGAACTGATTTTCTTACTTCTTCTCTTGCTATCTTACAAGGATGAGAAGACTTCCACCATTTAGAGCCATTATTTTATTTTATTTATTAATTTCTTCTTATTTAACTTTGTCTCTTCCAGTGAATCACTCCAAATATATTTGGAACAAAGAATGGCAGAAGTAAGTGAATATGTACATATATGCACAAAGTGCAACCTTTAAATTACATAAGATTATCAACCATCACTGACAGAATTCTATGAATCACATACACAAGTTGTCCTACATCAGCTCCTCGAATATTTATACTTCAATAGTTTCCCATTGTTTCTAACATAAAAAACTCATAGCATCAAGATCAATGTGATCAGATGCCAGCCAAACTCTTCAATCTTATTTCCTCCTTTGCTCATTGCATGAGGGAAGCACTGACCTTCTTGCTACCCATTCTTCATGACAGATGCTTCCTCTGCCTCAAATGCTCTTACCAGCAATTTTCATCTATAAGATCTCTGTTCAGACATCACTTTATAGAAGCCAAACTATCCATCCTGTCTGATGGACATCCTTCCTAGCTCTCTATTCCCCCTTGTTTATTTCCTTCTGAGAACAATCTGAAATTTTCTTGCCTCCTTCGCATTTATTTCTGTTATCTACTTTTCATATTGGACTATATACTCTAAAAGTGCAGGAATTTTGCTTCTTTTGTAGACATTAAATAATTTTTTAATAAATTAATGAACATGTTCAAATGAACAAAGCAGAACAATTCCATTCAACAGGTCAATGTTTTGAGTTAGTGGGAATTCACTGAGTCAACCTATTGGGCCCATGGGGGAAAGACCACTCAATTTCAGAGATGACACAGTGAGTCATTCTATGGTCAATTCTGGGGATTCATAACAATGTATATATGTGATATTTGCTATTTCAGGTTGTCAGTCCCAAACTGTGTGAAATAGAATTTTGGGCTTTAATTCTGTTCAGCTCTTGAGCAGATAAAAGTTCCAGGAAACAGTCGAGTTAATTAATATTTCTGAAGACACCATAAGACAAATGATATCTATCATTTCTCTATTAAAAAAATGTTTAGAAGTGGATTGAATTAAGATGATCGGCCTGATTCATAAAAATATTTACTATTGATTTCCTAAGTTATTATATTAGGCTCTTTGTTTTTATTGAAATAAAAGGCCAAGACCCATAGAAAATACATTTCTACATTTTTTTTTATTTTTGGAAAATCATTTAGGATACTGACCATTATTTTCATTATGTAAAATACCACATTCTAGTCTGTGAAGGTATGAATGTGAAAAATTACCTAGCATTCACTGCTTTGAAACAATGTTATATTTTCTGTTTACCAAAACATAAGAATTTTGCTGTTCATTTTACCTTGCCTGTGAGAAAGAGAAGAATTAATTGAATACTTAATTTAATTATCTAGGTAAAGCATGGTATAATTACTTTCTTGTTTTTCAAAATTCAAAGCTATTGGCTTTATTTTGTCATTTAACAGTGTCCTCCAGTGAATCATCCCAAATACATACGGAAGAAAAAATGATAGTAAGTAAATATATACATATATGCACAAAATAGAACTGTTACATTTTTGGTTTTGTTTTTTGTTTGGCATTTAACTTATTATTTTATTTTTTATTGATCATATTTAGTTATATGCATTTTTTGGATACAGCATTAAATACCATCACCTGTGTACAACATGTGAGGATCCAATAAATATTATTTGCGTATTCATTATTACAAATCATCATTATTCTTTGTGCCTCTTACCCAATATCTTCCCAATCCTCTGCTCCTTCTCCCCACCTCTAGTTAATATACATTTGTTCTCTCCTTCTGAAAGTTTAGCATATTGTTGTGATCTTTTCTTTCTTTTCTCTTTCTTCCTTCCTTCCTTCCTTCCTTCCTTCCTTCCTTCCTTCTTTCCTTCCTTCCTTCCTTCTTTCCTTTCTTTTTTCCTTCCTTCCTTCCTTCTTAGCACCCACTTATGAGTGAGGAAATGTAGTATTTCTCTTTGTTGTCTGGATTATTTTGCTTAACCCAATTTTCTCCAAGCTCATCCATGTTGCTGCAAATGGCAGAATTTCATTCTTTTTTTATGGCTGAGTAGTATTCCATTGTGTATATACACAGTTTCCTTAACCAGTCGTCCATCAATGGACATTTAGATTTGTTCCCTATTTTGGCTATTGTAAGTAAAGCTGTGAAGAACATGGGAATGTAGGTATCCCTTTGACATGATGACTTCCATTCCTTTGGGTGTACACACAGAAGTGGGATTGCTGGATCATATGGTAGTTCTATCTGTAGTTGTCTGAGAAACCTCCATACTCTTTTCCGTAATGACTATACTACTTTATAGTTCCACCAACAGTGTACAAGAGTTCCCCTTTCTCCACATCCTTGCCAGCCTTTTTTATTCTTAAATAAAGGCCAGTTTAACTGGAGTGAGATGATATCTCAATGTGATTGTGATTTTTATTTCCCTAATGATTAGTGATGTTGAACATTTTTTCAGGTGTCTTTTGGCCATTTGTATGTCTTCTTTTGAGAAATATCTATTCAACTCCTTTGCCCACTTTGTAATAAATTATTTGTTTTTTTCTTTTTTTTTTACTATTAAGTTGTTTGAGTTACTTCCATATTCTGGATATTAATCCCTTGTTGAATGCATAGTTTACAGATATTTTCTCCCACTCTGTAGGTTGTGTTTTCACTCTGTTGATTGTTTCCTTTGCTGTGTGGCAGTTTTTTAGTTTGATATAATCCCATTTGTTTACTTTTTCTTTTATTGCTTGTGCTTTCGGGGTCTTATTCATAAAGTCCTTGCCCTTTCCTACTTCCTGAAGGGTTTCCCCCAGGTTTTCCTTTAGTAGTTTTATGGTTTTATGTCCTATAATTAAGTTATTAATACATTTTGAGTTCATTGTGGTATATGGTGAGAGGTATAGATATAGTTTCATTCTTCTGCATATGGATTCCCAATTTTCTCAGCACCATTATTGAAGAGGGAGTCCTTTCCCTAATGTGTATTCTTGTTGTCTTTGTCAGAGATTAAGTGGCTGTAAGTATGTGGGTTGATTTTGGGGTTGATTTTTAGGTTCTCTATTCTGTCCCATAAGGTCAAGTGTCTGTTTTTATGCC